TTCAACATAGACGAGCGCAACGACGACGATCGCGGGAGGCTACTCGAAGACTGTACATGCTGCTACCATGAAGATCATACTAACTCTTTTCACCCGACGCATGCTACGAAGATACTCATCGTCTCWGGRTATTTRGATTCTATATGCGAATAGACTCCCATTTATCACCTCACTCCTTTTGCAGTGGGTCTGACCCTATCACGTTGTGGACATCATGTCGGGCTTGGATGAGCTTCTGTCTGGGACTTGTGTAGGCAAGTGAACATCGTGTCGGGTTCGGATACCCTTGTGTCTAATGCAGGACTTCGGCACGAATCAGCGTTCGTGTAGGTCTTAGGCTCGGATCAACTTTTGTGTAGGTCTTCGACATGTTCGTATTAGAGGTAGGGTTTGTTTCATGTGTAATGCATGACTTTTCGGTTTGTGGTGAAGAGGGGTAGTGATATAGACTGTACGGAAGCGTCTTCTGTAGATAAGGGCATGTCATGTAGACTATACGACGTGGGCTGGAATGATTTTTGGAATGCCTACATGTGCCTTAGAACGTGTCTTTCAATGATTTTTGGAAAGGCTCCATGTACTTTGTGAATTTTAGAAAGCTTCCGTGTACTTTGGAATTTTGTATTGAATTGTTTTTTAAAACGCCTCTGTGTACTTTGCAATTTGCCATTGAATGATTTTTTGCATTGAATGATTTCTGGAAATTCTCCTTGTGGTATGCAACTTCACGTTTTAGAAATACACTAGGCAACTTGAAGGCGATGACAAAAGTTACTTATAGGAATGAGTATGTATCTTCTCCACACAAAGATTTGATGACATTTTCACCGGGTAATATGCAAATTACAGGACAACGTCCATATTTGTTTATACGAACCTGGCACCGGGTAATATGCAAATGACAAGTCAACCTCCATATTGCTTAAGGTAACAATTTCGACAAACCGTCCATTTTCGCGATGACAAGAGTTACTTATAGGAATGGATATGTATCTTCTCCACACAAAGATTTGATGACATTTTCACCGGGTAATATGCAAATGACAAGTCAACGTCCATATTAAATCATCGCGCTGATGGTGTGCGCACCTGCTTCTCCATCTAAATGCGAGTTCATTCGTACTTCTGGTGTGAACGCCGAGCAATTTTATCGCACATTGCATCAACTTGACCTTTACAAAAACAACAGGCAACCTGCAAATGTTTCCCTCTTTCCTTTCTCCCGACTTCCGCAATGGTGACCTTGCAAATGTTTCGATATCTAGTTTTCATGTGATGGGATGCATGCATGTTTTCGATAAAAAAAATGCTCATGTCAAGGAGGAGATCAAACGAACCGCCGGTAAGCATCTGCACATCATGAAACAAGAGCACGTCCCAATTGGAACATCGTCGGGTTCTTGCAATGTCGACTCCCGCATGAGGACTACACTGAACAGCGGCAGGATGACCGGTCCGCCTCTCCGATGTGGATCTAACAGTGGATTGCGTCAAATCTGCTCTCATAGATCCACATCGGGGATGGGGGCCGGGATCCGACCATAGTTTGCTTGTAAGGCATCATATGATGTGTCGATATAACCGACATCCAGAACTGCTTGGTGAGCATCTAGTGCTACGCCAATAAGTTTCAAACACGGTCGCAAAGTCCCCTAAGAATCTTCATTGTCGGTTCCTCACGTCGTCGATTCCCATGTGATGAGTACAATAAACAATGGCAGAATGGCAAGTCCCCCTCCCCGGAATGGATATAACGGTGGATCGAGTCAAATCTGCTCTCAAAGATCCACACCGGATAGAAGGTCCTGCAATCATCCGCTGCTTGCTTGTAAGCATCATATGATGTATCCATACGATCGACATCCAAAACTGTTTGGTGAGCATCTAGTACTACGCCAAGCAATTCTGCCGCAAGGTCCCCTAAGAATGCTTTTAGCACTAGAGACCTGAGACCGCCGACTGTTTGGCACTTCTTGAAGGTGGTCATTTCAACCAATGCAGAGGGCTCGTGATCACTTCCATTGCTTGTATACGTGTCCATGGGTGCTCGGCCTGGCATACATGTAGTGTTGTTTGACACTTTCTTACGGTGCTCTGTCGAATATCGATAACCGCGAATTGACTCGCTGTTCAACTAGAGTCTCTCTCTCTCTCTCTTTCTCTCTTTCTTTCTCTCTCTCTCTCTCTCTCTCTCTCTCTCTCTCTCTCTCTCTCTCTCTCTCTCTCTC